GAGCATGCTCAAAAACCCCAAAAGAAGTTATTGCAGTCTGACCATTCCCATAGGGGGAAGCTTGCCTGCTTTCACTCTCTCTCTCCCTACCTGACCCTGCCTCAACAAGTGCATGTACGCTATGGCAAAATCTTTTTTTTTCTTTTTTAAGGTTTTTTACGTAGGGCATGTGTGCTTTCTGGAGAGAGACAGAGAAAAGGAAAGTGAGCAATCACCACCCAGGGAGGATGGTCATGCCACAATCCCTTCCCCTCTATTCTCCTCTCAGGGTTTTGGGCATGCATGCACAGACACCTGATATGATTTTCAAACCACTGGCTCAGGTATTCAAACTATGGTCAGCCATGTGGGAATCCAGCACCTTAACTACCCATGCCACCTGCTAGCCCCAACCCTCTGGCAAAATGTTTAAAAAGAAAATACTTTAACTGAAACTTCTATTTCTTCTCCTCTTTCTAATTTTTTTTCTATTCATGATTCATTAATTTATCTGCACGATGAATATCAGTTGATCACCTATTATATGCCAGTCCACATCTTTTTTAGACCTTTTCACTAGCAGTTAGTTGCCTCACTCTTAAATTAGCAGCCCTGTAAATCAAATACATGCTTCATCAAATTACAAATTGTTATATGTCATTAACCTTCACTACTGTCCTATCAATAATAATAAAAACTTGCATGACATTTACTGTGTACCAAGCATTATCCTATATGTTTAACACTGGTTAATTATTTAACTCACAACTCCATTTTATGGAGGAAAAAACAGAGGCTTGGGAAAACTGAGTAACTTGTTTAAGATGATACCAGTTACTTAAGTAACCAAGACAGGATTTGAATTTAGGCATCTGGGCTCCAGAATCCATTCCTTAACCACATTACACTGTCTCACGTTCACATGATCTGCAAATGCCAAGAATCTATTACTTCACTTTATTACTAAATCCACAATGGGAAAAAAAATTGGACACTTCCAAAGACTGTACTAACAGTTATTTCATATGAAATTATGTCTAGCATTCAACCTGACCATTCTACTATTTATTAAAACTAATGCTCACTGAAAAAAATTTTAAGCTATTTCCTGTGTGTCATACCCAATCAGACAATTCATATCTACTAACTGAAATGTGGAAGGCATACATTTTACTATAAATTTAACATATCAAATATTGGCAAAAATTAACTATAGCTATAGCGTTATATTTTTTAATATTTCAGGACACATACAAACATATGAGCTCATCTTTGTAACAGCAGACTTTCCCGCCCCCATTCTTTCCAAAACATGACTTCAAATGTGAAATTCCAAAGGTTTATATTTTGACTTTTACTAAAGTCAGTTTGTGCAGATCATGGGCGGCTCTATATATCTGCAAGTATACATCTACTGGCAAAAGTGTAAAGGTTTTATTCATGAGTAACTTGTTTATTTTGCCACTTTAAATGTTGTAACAGGCCTCAAGAGAGATGAGACGAACAATTCTTTTGTTAAAGAAAATGCATCTGCCAGTGGTATCTTTAAGATAATGAACCCAGGATAGCCACCGACAACCTCCTTTCTCTAGGCTCATTCCATCTATAGCTGAGCAATAAGAGCAAAGGAATTTGTTTTGAAGCTCTTTTTCTCACATACTATCTTTCAACTGACAAAGCAACTGTGCCATAATTAATTAAATGCACACTGGAATGTACAAACATATATGCTCTGAGGAATTTTTTTTAGAAATTACATTTAAAATGTAATTGAGTTTACTTTCGCACCATTCCCTTGACTATGACAGTTGACCAAGCCATGGGTACAAGGAATTATGAAATCTAAGAACAAAGCAAGGAGCTTAAAGACCAAAGAAGAGAACATTTCTTCAAAGTAGAATAATTATTTCCATATAAATCACTTTTGTGATTTTTTTAAAAAATGACTTCTATGACCTATGAGGTAGTGGAAGAGGAAAGTCAAAATGACAAATTGCTAATCATGCCAAGAGACCCCTTTTCCCTTTCCTGATGATGTTTCCTCAACATGAATGGTAGTTTCCTTAGGCAGGCCAAAGACAGAATACTGATTTACTAGATAAGCTATACACGCCTGCATTTGGGGACTTGACACACTTCAAGCCTCGACTCCTTTACAGCATAATTTCTAATAGACAAGAGTAGAACTATAGAAATTATCATGGGGAATTGTTTTCAATATTATATAATAATGACTATTTCCTTAAGGAATAAAAACAAAAAACAGTAGTTGCTAGACCCAGCTATATAATGTATAAGGCTAGTGCTACATGAGTAGCCCAGGTTTGGTACTCAGACAAACCTAAACAGATGATCATAGTGGTGCATGCCTAAATCCTAAGTAACTGGGAGGCTTGCACAGGAAGATCATGGCACAATGAAATCCTGTTAAAAAATGCCTATTTCTCTCTCTCTCCCTCCTGCTCATTTAAAAGAAAAAAGAAAAAAAAGCAATTGCTAGCGTGCCCTATTTACCAAAAAACACTCTGAATTTACCTGTACCACAACAAATACGGTGAAATCAAATGAATAACTAAGTTTTCCCCCATTAGAATGAAATGTAAATAAAATACCCTCAATCCTTTTGCAAAGTGCTCTTAGTCTCTCAACAGCATTTCCAATCTGATTATGTTTCCTTGTATTTTACATATTCTAGGCAACTTACATTTCCTGAAACACAACTTTGATCTTTTCACTCTTGTGTCCAAAACTCCAAATCTCAGATTGTTAATCAATTAAATATTATCACTCTACCCAGGTGTCTTTAGTAACAGAACACTATAAGAAAACACCATCTTTCTACACTCACCTACTAATATTTATCACTCCTGTTGTCATCCCTCCATTCTAGATATACCAAACTTTTGAATTCCTGAGCTGGATTTTTCCAACTCTTCCTTCTCTTTGTTCAAGTTGTTCATTCTACCTAGACTACCCCCTGACATTCAACGTTGCTATGATGAAGTTCTAAGACCCAACAAAAATAACACCCACCCCACAAAAATTTTCCGAATACTATAGAGGCATTGACTATAACTCCTCCTTCTCTCTTAGAGAATTTTTTTTAACATCTCTATGGCCTTTATCAAATTCCATGCTGTGGTATCGTTATTTGTGTGTCTGTCTTTTGTAGCTCATAGCACTGTGCCTTGCACACAGTATTTGCTGAATAGAGCCAACTGTACTCTTCAAGGGAATACTAGGTAATTCTCTTTTTAATATGTTCTCCCCTCCCCTTTTGGTCTCCAATTTTTATTTACTGCCCCCCATTTAAAAAATTGATGTTTCGGGACCAGCAGTTAGTGTAATGGCTATGTCGCTGGACTCCCATGTAGTCCATCGCGGTTCGCGTCCTGGACCCGGTGGCTTAAAACTCACGCCAGGCACGTGTGCATGTGTGCCCAAGATCCCGAGAGGAGAATGGAGGAGAAGGGATTGCAGTGTGGCCATCCCCCATGGGGGGTGATTTCTCGTTTTCTGTCTCTCTGTCTCTCTCTGTCTGTCTGGCGAGTGCACACGCCCTATAGCAAAAATCTCTCAAAAAAAAAAAAATGTTAGCTTTTGACCTTTTACAAATAACTTTTTCCTTTTTGTTTTTCATAAGAGTATTAGTATCCCAGGTCTGACTATTTTTGCTGAATTGCTATGAACTATCATATCACAATACCAACAACCTTCAGTGTACTTAGCAAAATTCACCATTCAGAATCAGAATTAGATTATTATCTGTTGATGATAACATGTATAGTGTCCTCAACTGGACTGGTGTGAAGTGTATTCATGTTGGGAAAATTCACTTTACAAGCTAAGTGATGTATAGTGATCGAATGTATAAAAGGCGCGGGGGCTGGCAAGTGGCATGGTGGTTAAAGGCGCTGGACTCCCACATAACCAACCATGGTTCAAGTCTCGGACCTAGTGGCTTGCTTTCTCACTTCCTCTCTCTCTCTCTGTCTCTCTCTGACCAAACTGGAAAATAATAATGATAATAATAAATAAAGTTAAATAAAATAATTCTTTAAAAAAAAGAAGTTAAATTAAAATAAATTTTTTAAAAAATAGAATTGCATCTAAAATATGAGGAATCAATTTCAGAAGCTCACAATTCTAAGTCTCCCTCTGGAATATTGAACTTTAATTATCTATAGTCTCTTTCTTCTAAGTCACCAAAAATATATTACTTGACACCAATATCCAAGTTCCACCAATGGATAATTATAGGAGTAAGCTATTTGACAAGATTTTCTAACACATCTTACCTAAGCAAATGAGTAGCCCATTAATGTTTATAAATAAAAATTAAACATTAAAAATAGCCACTCATAGGGCCAGCAGGTGGGGTGGTGATTAAGGCAGTGGATTCCCACTTGGCCCAGTGGCTTGAAAAATCACACCAGGCACATCTGTGTGCACACCCAAATTCCAAAAGGAGCATGGAGGAGAATGGATTGCAGCGTGGCAACCCCCAGGTGGTAGTTTCTCACTTTCCCTCTTTCTGTCTCTCTCTGTGCTTCTCTGACAAGTACATACACTCTATGGCAAAACCTAAAAAAAAAAAACAAAAAAAAAAACAAAAAAAAGAAAGCCATTCATATGTGGTTATACAAAAAAAAAAACAAAAAAAAGAAAGCCATTATAAAATTTCATAGCAAAAATAAAACAGCCCCAGGCAAGCTAAAAGCAACACTCAAATGTCACACCTATGCAAATGTATAAAACTAACACAATGTAGTGATTTTTGAAGAAAAAAATAAAGTTGAACACCAACTCATTAAAGTTTTCAAATTTTTTGCAACGACCTTCTCTCAATACACCAATACCTTATTAATAACAGATTCCTAAAGATAAACCTCATGAATTCTGAATGTATAATTATAAATGGGTCCCTACTGTCTAACCTTAATTTCTTTAAGGTTTTGGAGCTGTGGGTTCTACTAATGTGCATGGGCTGATATACTTGGCAAATAGGTCAATTAAATTACCTGTTGAATGAGTGAACGAGCCTCTTCAGAGACACATTCTGGCATGTTCAAGGTAGTGTGAGTATTTATTTTTTCCTGCTGGATGGCACTCAACCAGAGTCTGAAACAATCAATCAGGTACACTTCTTATCCCAAATAACATCAGATGCTATCACAGAATTTACAGACAGAGTACAGAAAGCTCAACGACTGCCTTAACTGGAGGTGTAACAATCAACACAGTGCTACTGAAGAGAATCAGGGTAAGGAGTAGGAGGCTACAGAACTTCTAACTGAAATAAAGGCAGATACTCATCGTCGCAAGCTTATGTTGTGGTCTCTGTTTTCTTATTTATAAAATGAATGGCTCATAATAATGAAAAAAAAAAAAACCTTTAAATTTCACACAGAAACCTAAAAGGGATTAATATATCTGAAATGTTTTAGTGTTCTTAAAAATATTCAAAGTTTAGAATTTGTTAGTAGTAATACTTTATATACACAGTTTACAGTTTAAATATATCTGAAGGAGATCTGTAAATTCTGCAAGTCTTAGCAGGTCATTATTACATACATATTTTAAAAAGATGACTAACAGAAGTATAAATGTTCATTTTCTCTAGTTTCTTCCCAGGAGGCATCTGCACAATACTGCATTCAAGTCCATTAACCTCAAACATCACACTTAAAAGTTATTGATCAGAGAGAGCATAAATTCTGTCCTTAAGCTAGAACAGATAGAAAAATGTACAGTATTGAAAAAAAAGATGATGTTACCTTTAATATCTATATTAGTTTTCCAAAATGAGCATTCCCTTCTGGTGTCAGACAAGATGTTTAAAACACCCAGAGAATTCTAACACATGCTTATATAAATCTTATAGATCTGACTTATAAAGCTGAATCACAGAAAATGAAGAGAAAAATGTTTATTTTTATATCTCACTATGTAACACTGTGACACAACAAAATTTTATCATCCATTTACTCACTATAATATGATTCTACTTTTTAAAAAATCTGGATCCTGGGTAAACTTGCATTTCTCTGCTTGTTTGGGGTATCAGAGATTTTCTTACTTAGTCCCTGATCTAAAAGCTGAAGGCGAAGGCTAACATTCTCAATTTGAAATCAATGTAGCATCTGGGTAAATCCATGAAGTGTCCAGGTCACTGCTTACCTTGCCAGTGAGAAGTTCAAAGAGGACAGCACCCAAACTCCACCAATCGCAGGCTTCTGTTTCTTCCTTGATCGCTCCAACCTCTAAACACACCAAAAAAGGTTGATATTAAAATTCCAGAGGTCAATTAAACTTTCAAAATTAACATGTATTAGCAAGGTGACCTTTTTAATGCTGAGAGAGCGTATACTAAATACTACTGGGCTTTCAAAATTCCTGAAAGTTACTTATCCCTTTGGTCACCTACTGTGGTTGCATTTTTTTTTATGCAGTCATATATTAAACTGAGACATTTGTTCTTTAGTTGATAAAGGGACACCTTCAAGATGCTATACTTAAAGTTACATGAACCTACTCGATCCGCATTTTGCTTCATTTTTCAAATTTGAGAAAGTATAACCAATCCTACCTTAGGGGTTTTTTGGTTTGTTTTTGTTTTGGTTTTGGTTTGGTTTGTTTTTACTTTAGAAACAAAAATTCTTGAGGTTCACAAGGAACTTCATAAAATTATCCATACTGATATTATCCTTTTACTCACAGGTTAAAAACTAGAGAGATGAAATGCCTTATCCAATATCTGGTAGTAGCAGAATGAAGACCTAGTTTACAGTGTCATCTTTTTCCTCCTAAATAATCATTTTCAACCAAAGCACATGAAATGCAAACCCCCACCAATTCTGTTACTTGCAAGTATATACAGATTTATTGTTTTAGATCCAACTGAATACCTCATTTTATTTTATTTCACATTTGTTATGCCTTGTAGATACTATATATATATTTTTTTTTTGAGAGAGAGAGAGAGAGAGAGAAGTTTTTACTATAATGTGTGTATGTTTGCCAGAGAGACAGAGAGAGACAGGGAGACAGAAAGCAAGAAATCACCCTCCCCCCCAAGGGGATGGCCACACTACAATCCCTTCTCCTCCATTCTCCCCTCAGGATCTTGGGCATGCACACACACATGCCCAGCATGAGTTTTAAGTCGCTGGGTCCAGGACTCGAAACACGATCAACAACATGGGAGTATAGCAATGTAACCATTACTCTATCTTCTGGTCCGGATACCGTATTTTTTAAGAACTGACACTGCATGGGACACATCTATCAATGCCAATGTTCCACCAGCCCATGCTGGCTTTGTGTCTATGTGTTGCATTTGGGCAATTATCCCAATATTTTAACTTTTTTATTATTACAGTATCTGTTATGGTGATCTCTGATCAGTAATCCTAGATGTTACAACTGTCATGTTAGGGAATGCCACAAACCACAGCCATATAAGATGGTGAATTTTATCCATAAATGTGTAACATGTGTCCTCCCTCTTAGGCCTCCCTGTTCCCTGAGACACAACAATATTGAAATTAGGCCAATCAATAACCCTATAGTGGCCTCAAAGTATTCAAGTGAGAGGAAGAATTGTATACCTCTCACTTTAAAGCAAAAGCCAGAAATGATTAAATTTGGTGAGGACGGCATGTCCAAAGCCAAGGCAGGCCAAAAGCTGGGGTTCTAGTACCAGTTAGTTGAGTTATGAATGTAAAGGAATAGTTCCCCAAAGAAATTAAAAGTGCTACTTCAGCAAACACTCAAATGGTAAGTCAAAGAATCTTATGGCCTATATGGAGAAAGTTTTAGTAGTCTGGATAGAAAATGCAGGTAAAAGGACTGTACATTATTTTTTAAAGACATAACGCTACTGCACACTTAAGACTACAGTACAGTGGAAACACAACTGTTATATGCACTGGGAATCCAAAGAATCCATGTGACTCACTTGATGGCAATACTCACTTTACTATGGGGGTGTTGCATACAACCCACAATATCTCCGAGGTATATTTATATTGGCTAAGTAAGGCCTTTTAGATTATCTACAAATTACAAGTTTATCGGTGTTGCCCCTATCTCTGTCAAGGACAAGTTTCTGAAATGTAAGTTTTCTGGTGTTATTCATTCAGATTTCTTTACAAACAGCAACCACTCCTTTATTTTACCATTTTTTTAGGCTTTCAGCCCTTAAGTCATGTTTGATGTCTTTTTATCCTTTCTTAATGCAATTCAGGTAGACACTGAGCCTTGCCAGTATCTGGCCCTTCATTTCCTTTTGACCAGGAAAAGCATTTTCATTATTTGACTATAGGCATTCCAGCCACAACTCATAACAATAAGATTCCAAAGTTTCTAAGTAATTAGGTTGGAACTTGGAAAGTAATAATTAGAAGTAGAATTCAGGTGCCCAACCTTCTAACCAGTGCTTGGGATGTTGACAATGCAGGAGAACCACAGAACTCATAAAATAGCTTGAGCTTTACGGGTCTCAAGTAAAGGTCAGTTGGACCAGAAAAAGACAAGAGTCATTTCTATGCAAAATACTGAAATTACTCCATTTCAGCAACCTTCTTTCATATCCTTTCTTCTGGGTCTCAAAGATCCTACGTAGAACTACACCACTTCACAACTAGCACGTCTCCAGCCTATTCACTTCATGCCAAATCATAACCTCCAATCTCTACCCAGCTACTCTCAACTAGGTGCTAAAAGAAAACAGGTATTAACTAACTGTAACTATTGTCAGAATGAATGAAAGTCTCCTGACCCTCCTAGACCCATCTGTATTTGTAATATAGTTGCTTGTTTAAAAAATTGAGAACTATCTAATAATCAAGTTTTAATTATGTATGTTATGATATACTTATATGATGGAACAGTACACATAACCATTTTAAATAATGTCGTCATATGAAATTTAGGTAATAAGTAAATATCTTTATATTGAGTTTAAAAAGCTATAAAACAATAGAATTCTAATTTTTAAAGTACACATTTAGAGGGACCACCAGATGGCATAGCGGTTACATCACTGGACTCCCTCATGGCCAACTGCTGTTCAAATACTGGACCTGGTAGTTTCAAACTCACACCAGGCGTATATGTGTGCATGCTTAAGATCCCAGGAGGAGAATGGAGGAGAAGGGATTGTGGCATGGCCATCCCCCCTGGGGGTGAGTTCTTGCTTTCTATCTGTCTCTCTCTGTCTCCCTGGTGAGTACACGTGCCCTACAGAGAGAGAAAAAAAAAATCTCCCCAAAAAAGGTGCATATTTAGAGAAAAAGCTGGTCAGAAAATGATAAAATGTTCTAGTGATTTGCTCTGAGGTGCTAAGGTTTTGAATTTTGTTGTTTTAAGTTTCTTTCTTTCTTCCATGAGAGAGACAGAGAGAAGAGAAAGACAGGTATCTCCAGTAGGGTCATACACCACGATCCACCCCCAGCCTCTGCCAGCCCAGAATACTGGCATACATCTGGTGTGTATAGAGGAAGGCCTGAGGACATAAACCCAAGACCTTCCCAAGCGGGTCTAGCATCACAAGAATTGCATTATCGCTGTACCACAACCTGAACTTGACATTCTTATACTTACTAACCAACATGAATATCTAAGTGGTACAATTTCACAAAGTACAGCAAGATGATGGGAAAGTTCAACATTCAGGTTCATTGGAAAAGTTACTTTGGAGCAAGATGACAAAGCTATGTAGGCCAATCCTCCCTAAGAGTCTGTTTGCCTAGTTTTCTCCACAACTTTAACGTATTATATATTAAAAAGAATAATGAACTAGGAGAATCAAGAGTCCTGGGTTGAGTCATAAGGAATTCACTTGATCTCACCTATAACGTGAAGGTTAGATCTGAGGGTTTCTAGGTTAAATTTAGCTCTAAATTCTATGATTTATACACTCAAAGATGCCTTAAAATAGTGGTTCTCATGACAGACAACTCCCTGGGGACTCTCTTTCAAAGAACTTATGCTTGCCCCACCCCCTCTCAGATTCAGATATGCTGACCCCACTCCCATTGCCCACCTCCCCACAGGGAGCCACTATCACCTTAGGAAGAATGCTCTCAGAAATGTTAGAAAGGGTGTGTGTTCTTAGAAATCTTAGAAAAGTATAAAGGAAATTTACCATAGTTCTGTCATCAAATGTAACCTTTTGCACATTTCCTTTCAGTCTAAAGCAATGGATTATTACATCATTTCCCTGTTCAAAATTCTCAAATGGTTTTACACTGACCATTAAATAACATTTAAATGTCTTGTTTAATCAGGCATGTATATATAACCAGACCTCCAGAATAAGGTTGGTAGGATTCACTCAACCACACATAAAGCAGTAGCAAACTAAAGGCTATACCAGGCACTGTTCCTCCATAAACTCTAGGCTCTGGCCACACTTAAATAATATAAAACTACAATTTGTTTTCCTGTGAGCACAGTTACTGGTTTCCTCTTTTCATTTTTATTTTTTAAGGTACACCATTGGGTGTGTACACTCACCAGAGAGAGACAGAGAAAAACAGTGAGAGAGAAAATGAGAAGTCTCCTCCTGAGGGGATGCCATACTGCAATCTCTTCTTCTCCTGGGATTTTTGGGCACTCACACACGGTACACCCGGTCTGATTCTCAAGCCACTGGATCTATAACTTTAACCATGGTTGGCTATTTAGGAGTCCAGCACCTTAACCACCATACCAACTGCTGGCCCCTTTCTTACTTTAATAAAGATTTTCACCTGTACAGAGTCAAGATCCAAAATTATTGATCAGCCACCTGTTTTGAATGTGCCTCGAAAAAGCCTCACTTTCCATGGAGGAATGCTGCCCTTCTCTCAGTACAGACATACTGCAGTGGCAGTAGCAACAATCCAACAGCAGCTAACTTGCATCCACTGCTCACTACAGGTAAGGCGCAAGAACTGTGCTTAACATTTGGAATGAATTATTGCGTTGTCAGAAAAGTCGTGACATATTTTCTCTACGCAAAACGGCACCATGACTTTACCAACAACCTAATATCTAAAATTTCCAAGCAATCTATGAAAAATTTGTTTGGGTAGAATGACCTTGGGAAAGAGAATGTTGTATTTACATGCCCAGGGAGAGGAGGGACATCCAACACAGCTAGCTCACAGAAACGTAAAAATTAAGAGTTTTATAGGGTCTCATGACATGTCCTGAGGTGCCCTCTAGACACCCAAGCCCCTACTCATAGGTTCCCTGTTAGAACTGAATGGAGGAT